TAAGTTTCTCATTAAGTGAAAAAAAAACAACATCAAATTTCATATGTTTGTTGACAACATTGTTGACAACAAACAAAAATGATGGAAAGAACAAAGATTTTTATACCATTTAAAGCAGTTATATATTATTTTGATAAAATGAACCTATTTTAAATTATTTCTTACTCACTTAAATATTAGCTAAATAGGACTATTTAGCTAATATTTAAGTGAGTAAGAAATAATTTAAGGTTGTGAATAAGAAATAATCCGTATTAAGGATTATTTCTTATTCACATCCTTTAATTAAACTTTAATAAGGATTTGAATAAGAAATAATCCTTATTAAGATTAATAAGGATTATTTCTTATTCACATCCTTATCAAGATTTAAGGATGTGAATAAGAAATATTTTAAGGATGTTAATAAGAAATAATCCTCATTAACGATGTAAATAAGAAGCTTTTTTATTGTGAATAACAAACAAAAATAATGGAAAGAACAAAAGTTTTTAATAAGGTTTAGTAAGGAAATATAAGGATTAATTTAAGGATGCGAATAATCGATTTAAGGACCTTAAATTAATTATTCACATCCAGGATTTCTCCTTATATATAGCCTTATTAATTCTTATTAAGGCTTAGGGATTAATAAGGATATATAATGATAATAAGAATAAATTTCACTTTCAATTTTATATTTAGAATTCAAATAAGGACCTTATTTGTATTCTAAATATAAAATTAAAAGTGAAATTCTTAAAATGTTAATAAATTAAAAATAAATAATCTAAATTTTTTAGAGGCATTCTCTGGATTGGACTCTGAATTGCTTATCAAAACTGTAAGTTCGTTTATAGGCTACAATCTATCTATTCAATAGACTATTGTAATTAAAGATTGGCCTTCTTTAAACTGTTTTTCCAAAACAAAAAACGAAAAATCATATCAACTTCAAAAGGTTTAAAAGTGACCAAAAATGGAATTGTGTAAGAACTAATATCTTTCATAAGTTATAGTACAACTTTGAATTAATTAGGCCTACTTCCCTAAATTTTTAACATAACCACAAACATTTTGTATCTAAATACTTTTATTTATTAAAAGCAAATTTTATTGATCCATCCCTTATTTTCTTTGTTTTGAGTTACTTTAATTTAGGTGTACTTTTAATTTTAGCTTCCAAATTATTACTGGAAAAACCGTTTGGTACAGGCAAAAATATATTGGAATTTTTAAATATTAGACGTATAGAAGTTTGAGTAACACAACTTGAAAAAACATCATTAGCAGTTTTCAAGTTTAAATCAGAAAATAGACTTTTAGGAGCAGAAACATCTTCTTGAACAAATTCTCTAGAATTTTTTCCAGAAGATGTTTGGATAGAAGTAGGGATAAAATAATTATCAGAAGGTAGCAAATCATCAAGATTGTTAAATCATGCAAAATTGACTTTTTATTTTAACTATCTGTATTTCCAACAAGGCTTGAAGCAACTACTTTTAAAGTTAGTAGTTACTGGTAGACCCAAGGTGAAGATTATAATGATTAACAGATGACAATATAAATTGCAAATTATATGAAAAAAAAAACTGTTATTTATTTTATTACTATATTATCGTATACAATCGTATACACGATATTTATTTTATTATTATATTATCGTATACAAATACTAACTTTCCATGAGAGGTCAGTACAAAAAGATAATCAGAGACAATGTAAATTAGAAGACACAGTAAAAATGTTGCCATTCATCAATATAAGAATATTAACAAGATAGCAAAGACTTTTTAAAGACTTCACCAAATATCAACCAGACACCATATCATCCAGAGCAATAGAATGTGCCTCACCGCCTCTATCTAATTATAATTTCAAACGTTTTTGTAATGACAGCTAACAGGTCAGCTCCAAATTAAGATGATTCAAATCTATACTTTTCTTATGTCATCGACAAATAGAGCCACTTGTGAGCTTTTCAGGAAGATCATTAATGTTGCTCATTACCTGTGAGCTTTTCAAGATGATCATTAATGTTGGTTAGAAAATAGTAAAGGGCTGAGGATAGAAGTTAAGGTTGTTATCCAAGTATTGACACTAGTGTGAATTTGCAACATTTAGTGCCACAGGTTATGTATGTTTTGTGATTGTGATGTTATTGTTGTGATATTTTGTGTTGATAGACAACTTAGCTTACCTTATCAATGGTGTCTATCGTTAAAAATGATTATTAGTTTGTTTCCTTACTGAAACTTGCTACTTCTAATCATTCACTAAAAGCCTAGAGATAAATTGTAGAATAGCAACAATTTTTGTTTTAATGTTGTTTTTGTTTTTTTTATCTTAGGTGTTGTTATTAGTTCACATAAACATTCTCAAAGAGTAAGTTTCTTATTTTATATTTATTTAGTTTTAAGTATTAATTTATAATTTTTTTATGATTTTTAATTTTTAAAACGAGTTAACAAATATTTTTAAAAAATTGTGTACCTGCGTTTTTAATAATAGTTTTATTACAATTTTAGATTGAATTGCTGCTGTTACACCTGCTATTGCTGTAATAAATACTCAAAATTTCAGGAAGTTCTATTGCTGTAAGTTATTTTCATTCAAATTTAAATTTTACTAAAGAATTTTCTTTCTGTTAAATAAGTAATTCTGAATGATTCAGATTTCAATGCCCTTACGCAGTGATTTACTAATAGGTTTGTAAATTAAGTAGTAGTTTTAAACAGATGAATTAATTGGATTCCACGATCCTTCATGCATATTAGCGTGGAGTTTTTATAATATAACCTGAGTTTTTTTCTAAAAGACTAGGTAAATAAGTAAAAACACTCCAGTCTGTAAAATTAACAATTCTGGATAATTTCGACAGATGCAAAAAAAAAAAATTATGGTATTTCATTTAATTATAGTTTTGTACCCCTATCAAAAATTTCAAGTCAAATGTAATAACAGTTGGAAATTATCAAATATATTTAAAGTCAAATTGCCCAATAGGTTTGTGCAAACTTTTTATAGTAATTTACTGACCGGTCTGTAAACTATGCAATGATTTCAAAATGATGTATTTTTCAGATTCCATGATTACTTTATGCATATTTGAATGTTGTAACCCTAATTTTTGTTGTTCATTAAATAATTAAATAAGCAAAAACACTTCAGTCTGTTAAATAAAAGATTTTGTATGATTTCAACAGATTCAATAAAAACTGGATCACTATTTAAAATTTTAAGTCAAATGTAATAACGGTTCAAAAACATCAAATATTTAAGGTTGATATGCCCAATTGGTTTGTACATAAGTAAATTTTGCAATAATTTTCAAATGATGCATTTTTTGGATTCCATAATTCTTTTATGTATACTTGCATTGTGCAACCCTAATTTTTTTACTTCATAACACAAATAAGTAGAAACCCTTCAATCTGTAAAATAAACGATTCTGGATAACCCTGACAGATTTAATAAAAACTGGATCACTATTCTAAATTTCAAGTCAAATGTAATAATGATACAAAAATATCAAAAATTTTAAAAAAATTACTAACTATTTAAAGTTGATATGTTTAATTCGTTTGAACAGCCCATTTTCAACAATTTACTGACCGAACAGTAATTTATGTGATTATATCACTAACAAGTCTGTAAATTATGCAATAGTTTTCAAATGATGTATTTTTTGGATTCCATGATTCCTATATGCATATTCACATGGTATAATTATAATATGACCCCAAATTTTAATCTTCAAAAAATAAGAAAATAGTATAAAACCCTTCAGGCTGTAGAATAGATGATTCTGGACAATAGCGACGGATTTTATAAAATAACATTTGGTTTTTTATTTTCTTATAATTGTTTAATCACCATGAAAAATTTCAAGTCAAAAGTAATAACGAATCAAAAGTCAGTATGACCCGAAAAATATATAAATTAATATATAAAGTCAGATGTATTATTGTTTCAAAAGTTATTCAAAAGTCAGTATGACCCCAAAATATATAAATTAGTAAAAATCCTTGGTCTGTAAAATAGATGATTCTGGTCAATCCCGACAGATTTAAAAAAAAAAATTTTATTTCCTTATAGTTAATTGGTCACTATGGAAAATAACGATTCAAAAGTCAGTATGACCCGAAAAATATATAAATTAATATATAAAGTCAAATGTATTATTGGTTCAAAAGTTATTCAAATGTCAATAATACTCTCATTTTCGGTGCCGTTTCGCAGTAATTTTTCCATACTTGAGCCCTATACATTGTCAAAAAATCACCTGTTTTTTCACTACAAAAAGGTCAATAACTTTTGATCCGCTTAACTTCAAAGGCCAAATGACCCCTCATTTTTACAATAACATCAATTAGAATATTTTAATTATAAAAAAATCGTCTGGAATGGCTACCTATAGTCAATATTAAGTGAAGCCTATGTTCGTAAATTCTTTCGGCGCACTATGTCAGTTTTTTTAACTGCTTCGAGCAGATGTTAGCGAAAATTCTTTTCGCGCACTTATGCCAGCTTGCATTTATTGGTTGAAACTTTTTTCCAGTGAGCAAATCTAGGTTTCGTGTTTTTTGTAAAACCAAGGCCCAATCATAATAAGTGCTTGAATATCGAATTCAATTAAATAGAAAATATATTATAACAAATTTTACTATATTAAAAAAAATTATTTAATATCATAACCCTAATCTAGCAAAAAATATTTTAAGAAAATGAGTATAAATGGTTAAAATAAATTTTAAATAAATCGGCTCTTGATTTTACAAAAAATGCGAAACCTGGATTTGCTCACTGGAAAAAAGTAATGATCGCACTAAAAACTACAAATATATTTGTATAGCGGGAATCATTGAACAAATCTTACGTGACCAAATTCGAATAGTTTTGAGTTATAGTTGTAGAGCCAGTTTTAGAGAGAATTTTACGTTGAAAAGCCATTTTTCACATTAAACTATCTTGCCGTTTAACCCATTTTTCACAGTATGCAAGTAAAAAATACATAAGCATAACAATATTATTATTATAAAATTTATTAATACCAATACATGTTGACAATGGTATCAGAATAAATAATACAAACCCTACACTTAAAAATCAACAATAAAACAAAACCAGTCACATTTTAACATAACAACATAAAAAAGCGAGAAAAAAAAATTATCATATAAAATATACCTAGTATTTATATAATGCGCTGTTAGCATCAATATTTTTTAGTTTCTTAATTCAAACAAATATTTAAACAATATAAACTCGATGTTTTAAACTGCCGACTAAAGGTTGATTTTTTCAAATAATTATAATTGAAAAGTAAAAGAGCAATCATAACCCTTCCTTAACTTTCTTGAAATAGTTTAACTTTTCTTTAGGATCAGGAACAATCTAAAAAACAACTTTTAAATAAGTGATACATAATGGCAGAGCCTAATAATTTTCACAACACTAGTTTTAAAATTACCGTATCAGAACCAGGTTTCCAACCAGCTGGACACACTATTAAATATAAAATAATGCCATTTATAAAAATATAACGAGCCATAGTTATTTTTTAATAATAATAAATTTATAAATAAAAAAAATATATCTATTAACAATAAGTTAGATGATGCATGCTATTCCAGATTGATTTAGTTGACTTAAAATTTTTGTTTATGTACAAACAAGAGGTCCAATTAATAACTTTAACACTAATCTAGTCATTAATAAAGATTTCATATAATTTGATAAATTGATTTTTAAATTGAATCAAATTGAATAAACTGATTCAAGTTGATTTACCGAAAAATCCGTTTATTAAACGTATGCGCGTATGCATCCGATCATTAAATGTATGCGCGTAAATGTGATTATTTTTTTTACTATTAAAAAAATGTTTTATTAACTTTGATTTTTTCCTTATGTTTTTAATAGAATCCGAATTAACATGCACTGCATGATATTTCGAATTTTTAGTAGTGTTTTTTTGATTAAATTCGTAAATAACTTTTTTTTTAAAAATGGTTTGTTTTAATGCAGCTTGTCGAGATCTACAAGATTATGTAAAATTATTTTTAAATTTCTAAAGTTTAAACGTCCTAGTTTTCATTCAAAGATAAAAACGTCCGAAATATGCATAACTCACGTTATGCTAAACTAATTAAAATTTTGTATTTTTCGATGCAGCCAAAAAATTTTCTTAAAACTTAAAAATAACAGTTAAAAAATAAGTGATTTAAATAACAAAAAATCAAGAAATATTAAATGACATTAAATAACAAATTATTATTACCTTCCCCGTGTTTATCTGTGTATTGGAATGCTTGAACTAAACGCAATGTTTCATCAACTGATCGACCAACCTATAAAAATGTTTCCATAAAAATCTGAATTTGACATTAAACATTTAACTAAATTAAATTAATTTATTTTTAAAAAATTATGATACTATTTAAATGGTATTGTAAAATTAATGTTACCCATTTTGTTAATTTTTTCATTTGTTGTTATTTATTATTTATACTTTAAGTAAAAAGGAAATAAGTTTAAGGGGTAGGTATAGTGCATAGCTTTCTGCTTTTGATAAAATTATTAAATATCACCAAACAACTTTAAAAAAGCTGCCCTTAAATAAAAAAAATCTTAAAAATAAGTGCTGAAAACAAACGTTTAAAATAAATTAATAAAATGGAAAATTTTTGTATATTTTTAACATTCACAAAAAATAAAAATAAAATTCACATTTGGATATCTTGGAAAAACTTTGTATATACTAATAGCAATAGAGATTTTTTATAAGCTGCAATAAGTCAACATATAAAAAAAAAAATAGTATGTGGATTGTCGAGGCCACATAAGGAGTCTTTCATGATCATAAAAAAAATTGAATAATATTTTCAATAAGTTTACATTTTTATATAATGTACTCTATTTTCTTATATATCTCATGATTTTTCTAAAGATCAAAATTTTTGAATCAAAATTTAGTTATAATTAAGATTTATAGTTTAGTATATAGCAAGTTAATAGAACACAAAAAATTAAATTGAAGAGCTTTAAAAAATTAAACGACTAATACAAAAAACTTATTTTGTACATATCTTAAATTTAAAAATTTGTGGTTTAACTTATTGTTTAATTCTGAAACAATATTTGTGTTTTATTGCTGATTTTTGTTACTTGTATTTCAAAGTTATTAAAAATGCATTTTAACAAACTTTATAACTATAATCAGCAATAAAACACAAACATTTTTTATAGAATCAAACAATCAGTTAAACTGTTTAAGAAATAACAAAGAACTGAAGGCAGATCCTCAAAGTACATGACAATTTACTAATGTAAATAGTGAATGTATTTTATACTGTAAACTAAAAATATATACATAATTTCATTCTATAAATTTATTAATATATACTTTTTTAAAGAAAAACTTACTGGCAAGTCATTCATTGTAATTTGTCTTAAAATACCTTTGTCATCAATAATAAATAAACCCCTAGATAAGAAAAAATATTCGATTATATAATATAAGAACAAAACAAATTGATTTAATTTTAAGTTAAAGTATGCTTAAAAAAAACCTTAAAGTGTGACCAGCATCTTCAAGTAAGACTCCATAATCTTTTGAAATTTGTTTGGTTAAGTCAGCTAACAGTGGTATTTTCATTTTTCCAAGACCACCCTGTTGCCTTGGGGTGTTAATCCTAAACATAGTTATGATAAGAAGATCATTTACTTTTAATATATCTACAACTATTATTATAAGACCACTATAAAGTGTTGATCATTAACTTAAAAAAATATAACTTGTCAAACAAAACAAAAAAATCATACCATGCTAAATGTGTAAACACAGAATCAACAGAAACAGCGATAACTTCAGTATTAATTTTTTTAAACTCATCAATGCGGTCGCTGAATGCAATAATCTCTGTTGGACATACAAATGTGCTAAATAATAAAAAACAATTTATTGCAAAGTTAGCAGATGCTCACTTTGCAATAAAATGTATATATGGTTTCTATGTAAGGCCAGCGAAGAAAAATGATCTAAAAGACATTAAGAAGATGACTCATTATAAGTGTTGCTATTCATTATTATGTTTATATATAAGAGCAGCCACTTATTATTATAGATATATCACTTATTATTATAGATATATCAACAAGGTGATAATTACCAACAGTAAAAAACAGAGCTTTATTGGCTGCCTATTTAAAGCAACCTAAAAGTAATGAACTTTTGTTAAAATTGCAGTATATTTTTTTTATTAATGTTAATTCACCTTCCAAAGGCTGAGAAGGTCACTAAAGTTGAGGAGGTTACTTTTTAATTGTAGTTACAACCTTCTCAACTCTGCAAAACAAAGCTTGACAAACAAGGCTGCTGAATTGAGAAACAAGTTGATGGGGATCAAACTTGGAACTTCTTGCATATAAAACAAGCACTCTACCAATATTGCATTTAAAAGTAACTCTCTAACCTTTTTAACAGAAAAATATCATGTTTTAGGTAAAAACAGTGAGAGCTCTTGTGATTGTCATTTCAAAGTTTTTTGTTAAAGATTTTATGCTGGCCTTCTCTAGAAGCTCTCCTCATATGTACATCTCATATGGAAAAGTTTTTAAAATTTGTGTCATTAATAATTATCAAAATCAAAAAAATGTTCAGAATATAGAATAAAACTACGGATACACCCAAGGCTACGGATGGAACTCCTGGTAAACAAGAAGTAATTTAAAATGAATTAGAGTATTACCCATCATAGAAAATTTTAATAACAAGTAAAAAAAGTATTTATATAATGTATTTATAAAAACTAAAAATATTAATGCTAACATTTATTAAAAACTTGTCTAGATGTACCTAGGAGAGCTTACAAAGATGTACCTAGATGTACCAAAGATGTACCTAAAAACTTGTCTAGATGTACCTAGGAGAGCTTACAAGAGATGTACCTAGGAGAGCTTACAAAGAAGGTCAGCATAAAGACTTTAACAAACAACTTTGATATGACAAGCGCATGAGCTCAGTATTTATTTAATACATAATGAATCTTTATGCTATAAAGGTAGTCTGACCAATAAGTTTTAGAATAAAGATATTAGAAGTTTTTTAATTAAAGTTCTTAAAGAGTTAGTAAATAATAGTAAAATGATTGTAATAATAATAATAATAGTAATAATAATAATAATAATAATAACAATAATAATAATAATAATAATAATAATAATAATAATAATAATAATAGTAAATTGACTGATTGGGTCAAAACAATCTTTAGGTTTTTTAAAAATTGTAACCGCAGTGCTATTTTTCTGGCAAACAAGAAAACAAGATTCACTGAAGCACTAGCTAAATATTTTAGTGATTATTGAAGAAAGTTCTAGAGAATGATTTTTTAAGATTTTGATGTTTTACAAAAAGGTGAGGGAGATTAAGAAACAACTAATATTGAAAGGATTCAGCAAAAAAAATCAGAGTGATTTGGATATTTAAGAATGAATTAACTTGTTTTTTGGCGATGAAATAGTACAGTCACTAAAGCCCAGAAGAAAAGTCAACTTGATTAATTTAGTACAAAAAAGAACAAAACAAAAGTGACTGAGCAAAGAAGTGCTAAATGAAAGCACATTAAAAAATACTATAAATAAATTTATATAAATAAATTTATATAAATAAATTTATATATATATATATATATATATCTATATATCCATACAGTGTAGTCGAAAGAGCATTTTAATGTAAAAAAAGTCTCTTACGACTACAATTTTAATTACCTCGTCTCTTAAGCTGTATTTGATTGTCGTCGAAATGTCAAAGCAATTAAATTAATGCGGAAGTACATTAAATTTTATTGTTTTTTAAAAATTTTTTTAAAAAACCGCAATTATAACGACTAGAAATTTTTTTTTTATTAGTGATGTTTTTGTTTTTATTTTAAAAAACATTTTTAAAACATGCGTAAATGTTGCTACATCGACTATCTTATAGCCTGACTTGCAACGGAGTGCTGCTACATCGACTGACAAATAGCCTGACTCGCAACGGAGTGCTGCTACATCGACTGACAAATAGCCTGACTCGCATTAGAGTGCTGCTACATCGACTGACAAATAGCCTGACTCACAAGGGAGTGCTGCTACAACGACTGACAAATAGCCTGACTTGCAAGGGAGTGCTGCTACATCGACTGAGGGTTTGGTTTGGGCAGGCAGTTTATCATTTGAAAAAAATAAATAAATAAGTTTTTAAACTTTTTCTGGTCTGGTTTATTAACGCGCTCTTTAAAACTACAGTTTATGGGAAACTCTTTTCAACTACCATGCAAGAGTATATATATATATATATATATATATATATATATATATATATATATATATATATATATATATATATATATATATATATATATATGTGTGTAAAAGGGTGTCTCCCTTTGTATAAAAGGGTATCTCCCTCTTCCCCCACCCCTCCCAACCCCGCCGAAATTAAAATGTGTTTGCGGGGTCTTATCTCCTTTTTTACTTTTTATACTCAAATAAAAAATACTGTAACATTTATGGAAGATGAATATGTAATCAACACAAAATTAAATTGGCTTCACAACGACATGGCAAATTTAACTTTGATTATTTGAAACTAATTATTTTAATCAGTATATATAAATTATTATTAAGAGTTATACATTTGATTTGATTTTAACCTTAATATATAATTGCCACTTTTATTTTAAAAGTATTTTTTTAAATATATTTCTTTTTCACTGGTGGGCATTCATGAACATGGATTTCTTTTAATACAAGCGAGCAGTAAGGTAAAAGAATCTATTTTCCTTGTTAAATAAATATCTAGTACCTATTTGTTATAATCATAAAACATTTTTTGTATTTAAATTTTTGCACCGTTTTTAAAAAAAAGTTAGTTAAAAAAAAAAAAAATAGATAGGTAAAAAAAGCTTTTAGTTGATATCGATAAGTAAAAAAAGATAATAGCCAATGCAATCAACTAATTCAGTTGATATAAACTACCAAACAAAAAAAGGACAACAATAACTAAAAGACTATACTCACATTGATCAAAATTTTGTAAGTATCTGACACAAAAGGATTCTCAATATTTTGAATAAACTTAATTAACTAAGTACATGTACTACTTGAAATAGAATTTGCAGCAAACTTAATAAGCAGGGCCAACAACACCATGGGGAGGGGGAAGAGGCCAGGGCGCACGTGAACCTTCCTCACCACTATTTTTCTAAAGGATTTTTTTTTTTTGAAAATCCTACTTTTTTCAGAAATTGACGATTGTGCCCTTCCACTTTGAAATCCATGTCATTGGCCATGATAAATTATTTGAGTTTTCAGCCAAAATAGGCGAAACTTTTAAAGAAATGGCATTTGCTCATGTTAAACCAAACACATTTTTTTTTAGGTAGTACCTTATTTCTTGCTAATTTTTTAAATGTAATATTTGCTGTTGTTAGAAAGGCATTGCAAAGAATTATGAGCAAAGTTTGAGAAATGAATTTTACAAATAAGTTGCCTAGAAAATCCCTAAAATTGCTGGGAAAATCCTAACTCTCTAAGTTTTTTCCAAGAGACATTTTTACAGTTAAAGTGAATTTCAACTCATCCATTCTTCACCAAAACAGGATAGTAAAGGGAAAAATAATTAAGAAAGCAAGCATATTTCTACTTTACACAAATTAAAAATTATAATACGCATCGCCACATAATTTTTTCTCCCTTCCCGATCCGGTGAAAAAACTATTATTCTATTAGTATATAATAACAATTAATTTTCTATAATTATTAAATTTTAATTTATGATTTAGCAACTTTATTATTAACTTTATTAGGAGAATCAGATTTTTTAAATTGGAAATTTCAATTTGTAATAATTTTTAGGTTCAATATTTTAGAATGCTTTAAACTATTATAAAACCTGACTCAACTGCATTCAATGTAAGTGTAACACAAGTTCAAACAAATGCCAAAAAAAAAAAAATTATTTTGGATGACTTAATCATAGATATTGAATAGCACCATATGCAATAACCTATAGTGTTGTCTCAGTCCTGCTAATCAAATCAGAGTTGCAACATAATTTTAAAAGTGTAATGGAAACACTCTTTTTAAGAGTTACTAAAGAGTCAAGAAACCTTACTACCAGATGGCCTCAAACCCACCAAATTGAGTTTTAGAGTCTCATTAGAAAATAGCAGAAAGAGTTGCATAACTTGAGTTTATAGTCTCATCAAATCATAAAAAAATTAGTTGGAAAAAGTGGCAAAGGAGTATACATGAAACCATTATACCCATTAAAAATTGAAGTTTGTAAAATATGAGACATGAAAATAAATTGTATCAAAACTTAAAGCAATTTGATTAATGTCTTAATATTATAAGATTAACATGTATGACGCACAATTCTAAACAACCTGTTAAAAAACAAAAGAAAATTTAACAATAAAGTATGAGTAATTTGTCATTAAAAAGATTAAAAAATGGAACAAATGGGAATTGGATATATATAACAAGGATGATTGGAAATAATAGTTAAATGCAATATATTAAACAATAGCGTTTTTAGTGCCATCTTACAAAAAAATGTAATCAAATCATATTGGAGCATTTATTACACATGTTCATGGCGCAAATGAGATATGGTAGTTAAGAATCATTCTGCATAATTTTGGTAACAACTTAAACACCCCTTTTTCATCTTATTGCAAGACTGATCAACAAATATTTTCTGCTTGCTTCTCAAGTATTGCGTAGGGAGGAAAGGGGGGGGGGGTTAAGATCCAACTACAGTCTTCTACAAGACAGTAGTTGGATCTTAACTTATCTGCACAGGATACTCAATTAAAAGCCCTAAAGCAATATTATTTCAAGTAAAAACTTTAGGGGATGTCAAATTTTCCTAGCATTTGCTTAGAAAAACGAATCCTACAAGGCAATAGGAATAGGTAACATTTAATGCAAGTTATATTGGATTAAATGTTACCAGTAGCAGAATGATCGTAATAATCCTGAACCGAAATCATGTTGTTAACATTTTATTAATAGACCTTTTTCTGTCCATTAGTATCAGTATTGGCCACAATTCTACAATTGATACACATCACTATGTTATATACTATAAGTCGAAGAAAAAACAAAAATTTACAACTCAGTTTTAAATTTTCATCAAAAAGTATAAATGAAGACCAGAAATTAGCTTAACAATTATGCTAAAATATTAAAATAGAGAAGACAATTTTCTTTGTAATGGTGCTTTTTACTTTAAATATTCTTATATTTATAATTCTTAATGGTTAATATAAGTAAATTAAATATAAAGTTAATAATTTTGATAGTATTTATTCTTTAAAATGAAATAAGAAATAATTTTATATATATATATATATATATATAGCAAAAATTTTCAAACTTACAAGTCTAATGGGTAGAAAAAAAACACCAAATATTTTCCTAAAAATTAATAAAAAATATAAATAAAAAAGTACTGTATTTACTATGATCATAAAATAAATAATTACAATAAAAATATGAAAATATTGTAAAAAATAAATCTATATGATTTTAGACTTCGGAATTAGGAAAAAGAAGGTCGACCTTAATCTGTTTGAAATCGGCAGAAAAAATTAAACTTAGAAAAGTCAGCAATTTTTTGCTGACCTCAAACACTTTTAGGTCAGCTGCTAGGTCAGCATTGCTGAATCCTGACCTTAATTCCAAGGACTGCGATTTCAAGCAATACATAAAAACTTTGTCATATGATATACATATATATATATATATATATATATATATATATATATATATATATATATATTATATATATATATATATATATATATATATATATATATATACAGACATATATATATATATACAGACATACATATATGAATACATACATACATATATATATATATATATATATATATATATATATATATATATATATATATATATATATATATACATATTTAGTGTATATGTTACTGTTACCCGCAGTTCCAGGAATTAGCTAAATGCTAATGTTTATAATATAGTTTAATATTGCAACTCTGAATTTCATGTGTTACCACAATCATCAGGCAAGTAATAAAAGTTTAATTTTGCAACAATTTGTTTTGTGGACGTTACATTTTATATTTGTATTATGGATCGTTACAGGACAGAAATTGATTAGTAGTTAGGTTAATAATATTATAAATTTGTTTTTAGTTAGCTAATAGTTGGGAATTAGTTATGTTTAATGTTGTTTAAAATAATTGTTTATGTGATAATGTAAATTATTTATGTATTAAAAAAAATTAAAATTAAAATATTATGAAATATATTACAATAGCTGTGTATGTGAGTAATTTATTAGTTAGCCTAGAGATATATAGAGTAGATTAATATAGTTGTTTTTAGTTGTTATTTAGGCTTGTTGCGAGCTTTGTAGTTTTTTAATAATTTTCTTTCATGGTAGCGCTTTGAGATAATTTTGGTTCTTTTATTTAGTAATTCCTCAGGTTTTTGATACGATATAATAGCAAATTTTTCATACATACATAGAGGGCACCTTTTGGAAAGGGGGTTTAGGAGATATTGGAATTTAAGGTATGGCAAATAAAAAAGCAAAAAGTTTAAGCAAATTAAGGTTCGATGTAAGTAGAAATATGTCTTTTCCTAAATACAAAAATATCTTAAAACTTTTTTTTTTTTGGTGGGTTATATTCATATCAGGAATAATTTTTTATTTTTAAATGTTAAATTATAATTATTCAACATGATTCATTCTAAGATAAATAAAAAAGATAAATAATATCAAATTTGTAACAAATCTGATAATAATAATAATAATAAATAATAATAATAATAATAATGATGATTCAAATGCTGTTAAGATAGAGCGCCAGACAATATCTATGACAGCCAAAACAATAGTTGTCTAAAAATTTAACTGCAACCTGTTTTTCTTGTTCAATATCATCTGCAAATCAATTAGGTTAAGTCTGAATTTAAACTCTTTGACCAATGTATACTCCACTACTGATTCGGGTAAATTATTCCATTCAAAGACAACCCTGTTTGTAAAGAAGTGTTGTCTACTTAAACAATTTTTAACAAACTCTGATTTAACACAATGTTTGTAACCTCTAATATTGGATGCTGGACCTGGTGTATTGATTAAATGCATTTGTATCTGGACTTTCTTCATACCAGTAGATTCAAAACCTATATACCTATATATAGTTTAAATTGTTGTATAAGGACACCTCTTAGTCTTCGAACTTTTAAAGTTGTAAAATCTAATATTTTAAGTCTTTTATTAAATCTCAGATGTCTTAATTCTGGTATCAATTTAATTGCTCTTCTTTGAACTTTTCAAAGTTCTTTGATATCTTTTTTATAATAGGAATTCCAAGCTTGAATCACAAACTCCAAATGAGGTCTAACGTACATGCAATAAAGCATTTTCATGAGGTACTTATCTTCATATCTAAAAGTATTGTTTAATATTGCAAGCATATTGTTTGCTTTAGCGGCAGCATTCCTTACTTATATAAATAACTAAATCTTTTTCAAGAGTAGATTTTTTATTTTATTTTAGTTCATCATCATTTTTCATGAAATAAGAATATCTTTTATTGCTTGCACCAAAATGCATTGTTTTACATTTCTCAAAATTCAAGCCCAGTTTTTATTCAACAGACCATTCTTCAAGTTTTTTTATATCATTTTGAAATGATTTTGAATCAACTTTGTGATGATTTTGAAAATAAATTGATTTTTGTCATCTGCATAGAAACAATATTTATTAAGAAGCCTGCTTGGTAAATTGTTTACGAATATCAAGAAAAGGTGTGGTTCAAGAACAGAACCCTGTGGGACTCCACTTAACATATCAACCTAATTTGCATTGCATTTTCCCATCACTACTCTTTGTTTCCTATTTGATAAGAATGATTCAACCCATTTAAGAGGCATACCAACACTGGAAGCATAAACCTTAGCACATAATTTTGTGTGATACTCTGTCAAATGCTTTTCAAAAGTCTGTATACAAAATTTCAATTGGAATACTGTATAATAATGCGCTTGTTAAGGTATCAAGAAATTCAAGTAAATTCGTTGTATAGCTCTTACCTTTTAGAAAGCCATGCTGTTCCTTTGGTAATAGCTTGTTTGTTATTAAATGTTTGATTAAATAATAATGCGCTTGTTAAGGTTTCAAGAAATTTAAGTAAACTCGTTGTGTAGCTCTAACCTTTTAGAAAGCCATGCTGTTTCTTTGGTAATAGCTTGTTTGTTATTATGCTTGATTATCAGCAACTATTCTTTCTAATATTTTGAATGGTATTGACGTCAAAGATACTTCTCTGTAATTTGTTAGTTTCAACTTACTCCCTTGTTTCAATATAGGCGTTATATAAACCTTCTTCCAAACATCAGATAATGTACCATATTATGTAGATTTTTTAAATATTAAATAAAGAGGATATAAAATAGATGAACTGCATTGTTTTAGAACAAAAGGATGTATTAAATCAACTCCAATTGATTTTGATATATCAAGAGCCTTGAATCTTTTTTCTATATGATTTTGTGTTATCTCAACAGCTTCTAATATCGTGTTTATTTGACAGTTTTCAATATTTGTGTTTACATATTTATCTTCTACATATACAGAATGGAAATATTTATTAAATTTTTCAGGAATAGTCATTTGATCAGTGTTACGTAGTTAGTTACGTATAAAGTAACTTCGGATTTATTTTACAATTATTACCAATCTCCCCCTCAAACGACTTAATGTTTTCCTTAATTTAGTTTCTGATTTCAATCTTTAAACGATTATATTGAGTTTTAATTGATTCATGTTCCCAATTTGTTGATTTATTTAAATGCCACATTTTATTTTTTAACTTAATTTTTGATTTTAGAGCAGGAGTCATTCACTTTTTTTTTATTATTATTTGTTTTTGAGTTTTTAATTACTGGAGTATATTATTGTGACACATAATTATAATGAAACAAAAACAACTCATACTGTTCATTCATTAATTTGTTGTTAAATTCTTTAACCCAATCAACAGTGTCAATATACTTTGAAAATAACTTGTAATTACCTTTCTGATACAATTTTATAGACTTCTTAAGTTCATTACTCAGATTAGATTTTTTTAGTACATAAATGATGACCTTGTTTTGCATCACCTAAAGGGGATGAGTGAACAATAGAACAGACTTTTTCTTTATCATTAGTAATTATAAAATTCAAAATATTTTCGATTCAAAGTTTGCTCTTTGGTAAGTTGGATCACTAACGCATTGATATAAGAAGCAATTTTCAAGACAATCTATAAGTTTATTAGCTTGAAAATCACTCTCAGTAGGAGAGAATGGAGAATTAATTTCGGACCAATCAACTGTGTTATAGTTAAAATCACCAGTAATAATTAAACCACTAAATATTTTACAATCAATACTCAATTCAGAAGAAATTATTGATTCCAGAATGGTATTGTTATAATTCTGAGTTGCTAATGGTGGTCGGCACATCAAATTTGTACTTTTTGATTACCAAAACATAAAGAAGTCCATATCTGTTCCATATCACTACAATTCAATTGCTTAATAGTAATTTCTATTGATTTATGTTGCTTTTTTCATAAATACAAACTCCACCTCCATGTTTCAGCCTATCTTTTCTAAAAATGTTATAATTGATAATGTTAACATTCAATCCAACAGTAAACCATGTTTCTGCAACACAGATTACATCCGGTTCATTAATATGTGCCAGAAATCTTAACCCAACAATTTTATTATTAAGAGATGTTGCGTTTGTATACCATATTATCAACTCTGGATTATTAATAACCTTTAATAAACTAGACTTTATTTTTTTGTCTTGATTAATTGAGCTATTTTCTTGGTGAAATTCTACCATTATTGTACACATTTTTATATTCCATAAAAGTGAATGACTCGTAACTAATAAGTTTTGATTTCCAGTTATTTATAAATGATTGCTATTTAAAAATCTTAACAATTTTGTCATTACATATACCATAATAGTAAACCAAAGGTTATAAATTTTCTAAATTTTTTTTTGCACTGATCTCTTAATATTTTAGCGTTGTATCTTTCAGCCTCGGTTAAGTCAGGGTTTATAATAATATTGCTAAACTTGCTCAAAATTTAATTGCAGCTTTTAAAATAGAGTTCCGCTTGTTTTTATTGTTAATAATAACAACACACGGTGGTTCTTTATCAGTTTTTGTTTTGAGTTTTATAACTTGTTTAGGTTCAATCGCTGCATTTATTGATTGAAATACATCAACAATCGTTTTTCTGTCTTCCTCTTTAGCATTTGCTGTATCTAAATCTATTGATGCATGATTTTCAAAAATTAAAAGATTATTTTTGCTCGTTTTGTTCTTTCTTTTGTTTCGGCAACAACAACATTC